TGGCGCCGTATGAGGCTTTATATGGCAGGAGATGCAGATCTCCGGTGGATTGGTTTGAGCCGGGTGAGGCCAGGTTATTGGGCACAGAGTTGGTTCAGGATGCATTGGAGAAGGTTAAGGTAATTCAGGATAGACTCCGTACATCCCATTCCAGACAGAAGAGCTACGCGGACAGGAAGGTTCGTGATGTTTCATATATGGTCGGAGAGCGGGTTCTGCTTCGGGTTTCGCCTATGGAGGGCGTTATGAGATTTGGGAAGAAAGGGAAGTTGAGTCCGAGATTTATTGGCCCTTTTGAGATATTGAGACATTTTGGGGAGGTTGCTTAGGAGCTTGCCTTACCTCCCAGCCTGGCAGGAGTTCATCCGGTATTTCATGTTTCGATGCTCCGGCGATATCACGGTGACCCGTCACACGTGTTGGATTTCAGTTCAGTCCAGTTGGACAAGGATCTATACTATGTTGAGGAGCCAGTGGCTTTATTGGACAGGCAGGTCAGGAAGTTGAGGTCAAAGAACATCGCTTCAGTAAAGATTCAGTGGCGGGGTCAGCCGGCCGAGGAGGCGACCTAGGAGACCAAGCAGGATATGTGCAGCAGTTACCCTCATCTTTTCACCACTTCAGGTGTGTCTTTATGCTCGTTCGAGGACGAACGAATGTTTAAGTGTAGGAGGATGTGACGACCCGGCAGGTCGTCTTAAGAATTAACGCCCCAATCCCCTATTAACTGCTTCCCCTAAGTTCATTTATGCTATTTTGGTTTTGCCGGGACGTTCGGTGTTGGCTTTCGGAGAGTTTTGGGACACAGTCCCTAAATGAGAGTTTAAGTGTTGAAAAGTGGTCCGTAGTCGGAACAGTGTGAAGACGAACTCAGAATGGAAATCTGATGGTTCCTTTAGCTCCGTTAGGTGATTTCGGGGTTGGGAGCGTGTTTGGAATGTATTTTGGAAGTCCGTAGCTCATTTAGGCTTGAAATGCCGAAGTTTGAATTTTTGAAGTTTCCGGTCCGATAGTGAGTTCTTGATCCGAGGGTCGGATTGGAATTCCGGAAAATGCACTAGCTCCGTCAGCTCATTTGGGATCTGTGTGTAAAATTTCAGGTCATTCGGACGTGTTTTGGTTAGGCTTTTGATCGAAAGCGTGTTTTGATGAAAATTTAAGTTCTTAGGCTCAAATCCTTGTTTAATTCGAGTTTCCGGCGTTGTTTTAGGTGGTTTAAGGATTGGTACAAGTTTGAATGATGTTATGGGATATGTCCGTAGGTTTGGTTGAGGTCCCGGGGGCCTCGGGTGTATTTCGGGTGCTCAACGGAGAATTTTGGAGTTGTGTTATTGCAGAAAAAAATCCTTCAGCAGTTGCAGGTCCCAGATCCTTCTTCGCGTTCGCGTACCCCCCATCGCGTTCGCGTAGCTTTGACTCACTTCTTATTCGCGTTCGCGACCCCTCTCACGCGTTCGCGTAGTGTAATCCTGGAGGGGGGCCAGTTCCTTATACGCGTTCGCATATCCACCTCCGCATTCGCGTAGCCTCGCCTATTTCCCCGTCGCGTTCGCGAAAGCTGCTTTGCGTTCGCATAGAGCAGCTCCTGGACTGTAATATTTTCCTTCATCGCGTTTGCATTTCTTGCGTTGCACTCGCGAAGCTTCATGTCCCCAGGCCTTCACGTTCGCAGTCTACCTATCGCGATCGCGAAGGGTAATTTTGGCATCTTCAAATTTTCTTCTTCACGAACGCGAGCTCACCTCCGCGTTCGCGATGCATTAAAGTTCTGGACAGTATTTAACATTTCAAAAATGAGGGTTAGCCATTTTTATCAAAATACAAGCTTGGGAGCTCGGATTTGGGAGCAATTTCGAGGGGTTTTCGAGGGCAACGATTGGGTAACGATTCTCTACTCCCTTATGCTTAAAACCCACTAATCTAATCACGAATTCATCTTTAATTTCGGATTTTTGAATGAAAAATTGGTAAAAACTTCATAGACCAAACTATTGGATTTTAAGTGGGTATTTGACCTCCGATTTGGGAGATTTTTGTATGGTTAGACTCATGAGAGTACGAGGGTTCTGAAAATGTAAAAATTATTCGATTCCGAGACGTTGGCCTGAAGGGCATTTTGGTTATTTTACCTAAATTCGCGTCTTAGCTTTAAATTAAATAGTAAAATCAGTTGCTTGTGATGTTATTTACGATGTGTAATTGAATTGAATAGATTTGGGCCATTTGGAGTCGGATACTCATGGCAAAAGTGTGGTTTCGAGTTGATTTTGGAGCCGGTTTGAGGTAAGTGACTTGTCTAACCTTGCGTGGGGGACCTTTCCCCTTAGGATATGATATTGGTAATTGAATGCCTTGTACGTAAGGTGACGAGCGCGTACTTGAGAAAATTGTTGAAAAATCCGATTTTACTTTAAATATTTAGACTGTGTTTCTTTCTTATCTGCTTTATTTTTATTTGCAATTATAGACTGTGTTAGCTAGAAAAGCATGCTTAGTTGTTCCAATTTGCCTATCTGCTCAAGTTGCCTTGTTTGTACTACGTGAAGGATCTTAGGCTAGAACTACCTGTTGCCTTGTATCTTTGAACTTCATTTCTGGATGTCTTCTTGTTGTGACTGCGTATTTACTTTGGGACTGCGGGTTTGATTCCCGATAGATCCCCCTGCATATTTACTTTGGGACTGCGGGTTTGATTCCCGATAGATCCCCCTGCATATTTACTTTGGGACTGCGGGTTAGATTCCCGATAGATCCCCCCTGCATATTTACTTTGGGACTGCGGGTTAGATTCCCGATAGATCCCCCTGCACATTGATAGTTGGACTACGGGACGGTATCCCGGGAGATCCTTCGGTTATACTCATATGGTGGACTACGGGACGGAATCCCGGGAGATCCTTCGGATATACTCATATGGTGGACTATGGGACGGTATCCCGGGAGGTCTTTGGACAGTTGATGAAATGGACTACAGGACGGTATCCTAGGAGATCCTCGTTGTTGGTATTGGTATTGAGCTGTTTTACTCTGTGTTGTCTTATTCTCTGAGTGTTAATTGTTGCCTTGTATAACCTGTCTTACTTCATAGCTGTACTCATTACTTCCGTTTACTTCATGTTGTTGCAAGATTTATTATTATGCTTATTCTCAGTAGGGCCCTGACCTTCCTCGTCACTACCCAACCGAGGTTAGGCTTGGCACTTACTGAGTACCGCTGTGGTGTACTCATTCCCCTTCTGTGCATGTTTTTCATGTGCAGATCCAGGTACTTCGTCCCAGGCGTATCACTCTCGAGGCGGAGAGATCTAGCAGAGACTTCGAGGCACATCTGTCGCGTTCGCAGACCAGGAGTCTCTATCTTATTCTAGCTTTAGCAGTTAGCTTTTCCTTTCATACTTTTGCTTTAGACATTCTGGAGTTAGAGCCGTGTATTACTTTCCGTTAGCTTGTGTTCCCGTGAGTTTTCGGGTTTTGGGATGATATTGTAGACTTTCGCATTATTGGGTTGTATATGCCGGGCGACATTTATATACAGTTACCCTTCTAGTTGTTTAGTTTAATTATTTTTTCCGTAAGTTATGTTATTTCCGCATTGTTAGGCTTACCTAGTCGTAGGGACTAGATGCCATCACGACATGTTCACGGAGGGCGAACTGGGATCGTGACAGTTGTACTTTCCCTTCTTTCTCAGATAGTAGAATATGACGTCAATATGCTATATACAAATTTAATCACATAGTGTTAGTACAATGAATTAAATTAAGAAAAAGAAACTGAATATGATAAGTGAAAACTCAGTTAAATACATCACACAGATTCAGTTAAATACATCTGTTATTTAAACTACTGAGTACTGTTAAAATACAACTGAATACAGTTAAATACATTTTGTTATTCAAGACTAATGAGGCAATTAAATACATAATACAGATTCAGTTAAATACATATGTTATTTACAACTACTGAGTACTTTTAAAATACATCTGAATACAGTTAAATACAGCAGTTATTCAAGAATAATGAGGCCATTAAATACGTCACACAGATTCAGTTAAATACATCTGTTATTTAAACTACTAAGTACTGTTAAAATACAACTGAATACAGTTAAATACATTTTGTTATTCAAGACTAATGAGGCAATTAAATACATAATACAGATTCAGTTAAATACATCTGTTATTTACAACTACTGAGTACTTTTAAAATACATCTGAATACAGTTAATTACAACAGTTATTCAAGAATAATGAGGCCATTAAATACATCATACAGATTCAGTTAAATACATCTGTTATTTACAACTACTGACAACAATAACAATAACCCAGCAAAATTCCATTAATGGGGTCTGGGGAGGGTAATGTGTACGCAGACCTTGCTCCTACCCCGAAAGGATAGAGAGGCTGCTTCCGAAAGACCCTCGGCTCAAGAAAACAAAAAGACAAAAAGGAGACAATATTAGTATCAACAAAGAAATCATATGAAAAACAGGAACAACATAAAATTCAGAAGAAGGATGCAAAGCAAAAGCGATAGCTAGTAAATAGTTCCTGCGCTGAAAAGTGAAATAGTAAGACACAACATTGCCACTAACTATCCCAGACAAAAACCCTACCAGACTGGTCTCGCAATGGTACAAAGTAAGGAAAGACTCAGACTACCTCCTAACCTACAACCTTAATACTCGATCTCCACATCTCCCTATCCAGTGTCATGCCCTCCGAAATCCGAAGCCTCGCCATATCCTGCCTGATCACCTCTCTCCAATACTTCTTAGGTCGCCCTCTACCTATTCTCGTGCCCTCCACAACCAACTGCTCACATCTTCCTATTGGCGCATCTGGGCTTCTCCTTTGAACATGTCCGAACCATCTGAGTCTCGCTTCCCGCATCTTGTCATCAATGGGAGCCACATGCACCTTCTACAGAATATCATCATTCCTAATCTTATCCAATCTAGTGTGCCCGTACATCCACCTCAGCATCCTCATTTCCGCTACTTTCATCTTCTGGATATGTGAGTTCTTTACAGGCCAACACTCTGCCCCATACATCATGGCCGGTCTAACAACCACTTTATAGAATACAACTACTGAGTAATGTTAAAATACATCTGAATACAATTAGTACAACAGATGTAAAAGATACATTTGAGTACAATTGAATACATAAAAATAATTGAAAACAAATTTGTGTGAGAGCTCAATTTGTGAATTATACAATTAGATAAATCAATCCTAAAGAAATGAATTATAATGGAGTTGGAAGGGGTAAACTCACATTGTCATCCCATAGTTTACCGTCAAACGATAGAAGGTAAAACCAATTTTTTGAATTGACTTGATCAACTCCAAAATCCAATGGTATATGAAGTGTTGACTTGTTCTTCTTGTAATGGTCTTCCAAATTACTTCTACAAGTATGATATAAAAAAACATTATATCCATTTTAAAAATATAAATACGTAATAGACATGTCGGGAAAAAACTCACTTCTGTTCATGTCTAGCGAGAAGACCATCACGAACCCATTTCTCGTATTCCTGAATGATTAATGTAGGATGCGGCCCCGTTATTGAATCATCCTCAAAGGGGTGTCTTCTTTCAAATATGGGGGTCAACTTTACTGAGGTACCTATTGTTCATTGAATTCATGAATAGAGACTTTTAATTATAAATACCATGGGAAAATAGAACATTAGTTTATAAACACAACCTGCGGAGTCGAAGTTAGACTCGTAAGGCAAAGAATACCATCTACTTGGTCGCCGATTCCTATGAGATGGTAATGGGGTTGATTCAACATTTTTTGCACTGTTGTGTATCACAATTCTAGTTTCTGGAATTTGACTTGGAAGAAACTTGTCGTCCAGCTCAAATTGCAATACATAGTAATCTGTAGATACACCCTCTTGGCCTATAGGTGGTATGTTGCACGGCACCTCTGATGTAGTATTCCCCTCCACTCTTGACTCCACACAAAGAGCATTAACCACTGTATTCTGTTAGACGTATGCACCAATGTTAGTGTAGTAACTGACTGTATGAATACAGTTCAATACATATAAATACAATACATATTTGATCTTGAATTTGTATTTTGTTAAGGCTGTATTTACGTGGAGAATTTAAATACATTGGAAAACATGATAAGATTACATCTAAATACATATAAATACATTACATATTTGGGGCAGAATTTAAATGCATCTAACTGGAAGTTATAGCATTACTATATAGAGGAAGTTTAAATGTATACAAGTATCATGTTGTAATATATATGAATACATCTAGATACAACATGTGAAGATCATAATAATTATGCAGATTCTGTATATACTTGTATTTCACAATGTTACAAATTGTTTTATATATGATTAATACGAATAAGAGCAAACAGGAGATATAAACATATAGTAAAGAGGTTAAAAAATGTTAAACCTCAATATTATCACCGACAGCTGTATCAATCTGTCTGTGACATTTTTGATTATCTTGTAAGTTGGCATCATATGACATTTCTATACCATCATCACGTTTCCCTGTGGTTTCCTTTCTCTGGTGTACACTTTCTTTTTGCTGATTGTCTTGAAGATGATCAGAAAGCATCTTAAAGTTATCATTGATCAACGATCTCAGAGACTTGAATTCGCCCACAACCTTAGCAAGACAGAAATAATTAGAAAAGTGCGCCAAAAATATACGAATGTTAAGCACTAAAATGTAATGTTTAATATGTGGATAAAAAACTCACGTATTCTTTGAATGAATTTAGGTCTTTCCTCAAAGAAGATACTTCATCATTTTTTGAATCTGCCGGCTGATTGTGATGCAAAACATTTTGTGCAATTTCAGATACACCAACAGGATGAATCTTGGATTGAGTCTCTGTATTCGAGGGAAGAATAAACTGTTCTTTGTGCTTTTTATAGGGCGGTGATGAAGATGGACCAATAGTTGCAGCATGTTTCTTCTTAGACTGAAGATCAGGTGTAGAAGAAAAGTCATCCGAATCCTCTACCGACTTGTCTGAATGAGTAGGTGTAGGACTGTTCTCAACAGCAACGCCTACGGGAGGAATCTGAATAACGACAAGTTCTATATCAGTTAGATGGATGTCCTTGTAAACAATATGAAAAACGAAGTACAATCAAAGTCTTACAACAATGGCTGTATGCAAATCTGGAATCAAAAGGTAATTTAATGAAGGCAGCAGTAATGATTAGTAAATTATATGCAACTGTATGGAGCAATAAAAATGAAGGCAACAGATACTGTATGCAAGTGTATGCGACTGTATGCATTAGTAAATTATATGCAACTGTATGCAGCAATAATAATGAAGGCAGCAACAACTGAATGCAGCAGTAACTATATGCAAAGGTAATAAGGAAGGCAGCAACAACTGTATGCAAGTGTATGTGACTGTATGAAGCAGTAACTGTATGCAAAGGTAATAATGAAGGCAACAACAACTGTATGAAGCAATAACTATTCTCAACAGCAACGCCTACTGGAGGAATCTAAATAACGGCAAGCTCTATATCGGTTAGATGGATGTCCTTGTAAACAATATGAAAAACGAAGTACAATCAAAGTCTTACAACAATGGCTGTATGCAAATCTGGAATCAAAAGGTAATTTGTATTCAAATGAAGGCAGCAGTAATGATTAGTAAATTATATGCAACTGTATGGAGCAATAAAAATGAAGGCAGCAGATATTGTATGCGACTGTATGCATTAGTAAATTATATGCAACTGTATGCAGCAATAATAATGAAGGCAGCAGCAACTGTATGCAGCAATAACTGTATGCAAAGGTAATAAGGAAGGCAGCAACAACTGTATGCAAGTGTATGCGACTGTATGAAGCAGTAACTGTATGCAAAGGTAATAACGAAGGCAGCAACAACTGTATGAAGCAATAACTGTATGCAGCAGTAATGATTAGTAAATTATAAACTAGCCAACTAACAAATTATAAGTTACCATGTTTCCCTTGTCATTGAACATGCCGTTCATCAGATCAGCAAAGTTTGGCTGATTTTCGGTAGATCTCCAATTGAGTATTCCGGGTACCACATTTTCAACTCGCAGTGCAATTTTGGGATCAACATTTGAACAGCACTCATAAAACCAAACTTGCATAGCTAGAGGCATCCCAGCTATCCTGTACTACTTCTTCTGAGCATTCATCTTCTTGCTAATAGATTTTCTCAGGCTTTCAAATGCTTTTATACCCCATGGATATTCAGAATAGCTCTCACTCTCGACCAAGTCAAAATGTAGCCTTGGGATGGTTGTGTTGTTCTTCTCGGATAAAAATATGAAAGTGTGTATTAAATACAACACAACTATCTTTAAGGCATCCCCATCGTTGTCGTGACCCCAATTCTTGTCAGCAAAGCATTTCAACAAATCTTTCTTTTTGACAAGATTGGCACCGCCAAAGTATGTCTCAATAATCCGGTTAGGAAACTTTTCATTGAACTGAAAATCAGCAGGGTTACTAACACATTTGAGGTCAGTCACAAGCGCAAACTCCCTTATTGAGAAAGATAATGTAGTACCATTGACGTGTATTGAAAATACATCGTCAGGACTTCCTTCTAACTGGAGAGCCATGAAGCATTTGAAGAGTTGGTGTTGGACTTCACAACGCTTCATTTGAAGGAAATTTCCAAAACAAGTGTTACCCAGTTGTTTGTACTGCTCTGGAGTAAGATTTTCTTTGAGGTCGAAGACTTTGTCTGTGTTAGTATATACACTGATATGCGGTGCAAATATAGGCTGTTTTTTTCAAACAGCTTAATTTCCTGCATATAACAAGAATAAATACATGTTACAAATGAATATAAGACATATTTCATAGTACAACTGATATGAATACAACTAAATACAAACTACAAAAATAAACTGGAGTAAGATGTCAGTGATATAAATATATGTACATATATAATACATACACTTACAACAAATAAAGACATTGAATATAGAATAAAACAGTGATGGGAACTTTGAAAATCCTTATAAATACAACTATATGAAATATGAAAAGGTCAGTCTAGTAAGGTAAAAAACAGTGAAAGAACTATTTGAATACATCCAAATAAATCTAAATGCATTATGCAACAAACAATTAAATAAAAGTCAATTTGCATACATCAGAATACATAAACATATTTGTATCATAGATTTTTGTAAGTACAAAAATACATTGAATATCGTTTTTGCATAAATCTAAATACATGTACATGTATAAATACATAAAAAACAGAGAAGTCAACAGGTTTATACATATAAATACAGATGAATACATCAAACAATAAAGATGAATACATCAGAAATTACCTTTTCTTCCAGTGTATCCGAGCTTTTACTTGCTTCAACCTCCTTCCCCTTGACAGATGAAGCTTCAGAAATATGTTTTTTTCCTCTTTTCCGCAATGGGAAGTCTTGTTTCCTTCAATGATTTCTCAACTTGGGTTTCTTTGAAATTGTCATGGCGAGATTTTGTTCTTTTCTCCAATGCCATATTTTTGGCTAAACCTGCATCCAATTCCCCTTGAGTGATTTGCAAGGAGAAAGAGGGCCCATCGAAAGTGAGAATTTTAGTGGGTATACCTCTGGTAATCAACTTGCAGGGTGTATTCTCAGACATTGTGAGAATATGCTTGGATACTGTTGATTAGAGAAAACTTGGTGAATAGAGATGTTGAGAATAAACAAATAACATTTTTACCTTTGCTATAGGAGGTAAAGATTTCATTTTTGTTTATTCTCAACACTCTCTACTCACCAAGTTTTCCCTAATCAACAGTATCCAAGCGTATTCTCACAATGTCTGAGAATACACCCTGCAAGTTGATTACTAGAGGTATACCCACTAAAATTCTCACTTTCGATGGGCCCTCTTTCTCCTTGCAAATCACTTAAGGGGAATTGGATGCAGGTTTAACAAAAAATATGGCATTGGAGAAGAGAACAAAATGTCGCCATGACAATTTCAAAGAAACCCAAGTTGAGAAATCATTGAAGGAAACAAGACTTCCCATTGCGGAAAAGAGGAAAAAACATATTTCTGAAGCTTCATCTGTCAAGGGGAAGGAGGTTGAAGCAAGTAAAAGCTCGGATACACTGGAAGAAAAGGTAATGTCTGATGTATTCATCTTTATTGATTGATGTATTCATCTGTATTTATATGTATAAACCTGTTGACTTCTCTGCTTTTTATGTATTTATACATGTACATGTAATTAGATTTATGCAAAAACGATATTCAATGTATTTTTGTACTTACAGAAATCAATGATACAAATATGTTTATGTATTCTGATGTATGCAAATTGACTTTTATTTAATTTTTTGTTGCATAATGCATTTAGATTTATTTGGATGTATTCAAATAGTCCTTTCACTGTTTTTTACCTTACTAGACTGACCTTTTCATATTTCATATAGTTGTATTTATAAGGATTTTCAAAGTTCGCATCACTGTTTTATTCTAATTGCAATGTATTTATTTGTTGTATGCATATGTATTATATATGTACATATATTTATATCACTGACACCTTACTCCAGTTTATTTTTGCAGTTTGTATTTAGTTGTATTCATATCAGTTGTACTATGAAATATGTCTTGTATTCATTTGTATTTACATGTATTTATTCTTGTTATATGCAGGAAATTAAGCTGTTTGTGAAAAAACAACCTATATTTGCACCGCATATCAGTGTATATACTAACACAGACATATCCGACCTCATAAAAAATCTTACTCCAGAGCAGTACAAACAACTGGTAACACTTGTTTTGGAAATTTCCTTCAAATGAAGCATTGTGAAGTCCAACGTCAACTCTTCAGATGCTTCATGGCTCTCCAGTTAGAAGGAAGTCCTGACGATGTATTTTCAATACACGTCCATGGTACTACATTATCTTTCTCAATAAGGGAGTTTGCGCTTGTGACTGGCCTCAAATGTGTTGGTAACCCTGCTGATTTTCAGTTCAATGAAAAGGTTCCTAACCGGATTATTGAGACATACTTTGGCGGTGCCAATCTTGTCAAAAAGAAAGATTTGTTGGAAATGCTTTGCTGACAAGAATTGGGGTCACGACAACGATGGTGATGCCTTAAAGATAGCTGTGTTGTATTTAATACACACTTTCATATTTTCATCCGAGAAGAACAGCACAACCATCCCAAGGCTACATATTGACTTGGTCGAGAGTGGGAGCTATTCTGAATATCCATGGGGTATAAAAGCATTTGAAAGCCTGAGAAAATCTATTAGCAAGAAGATGGATGCTCAGAAGAAGTACTACAGGATAGCTGGGATGTCTCTAGCTATGCAAGTTTGGTTTTATGAGTGCTGTTCAAATGTTGATCCCAAAATTGCACTGCGAGTTGATAATGTGGTACCCAGAATACTCAATTGGAGATCCACCGGAAATCAGCCAAACTTTGCTTATCTGATGAACGCATGTTCAATGACAAGGGAAACATGGTAATTTATAATTTGTTAGGTGGCTAGTTTATAATTTACTAATCATTACTGTTGCATACAGTTGCATACAATTATTGCTTCATACACTTGCATACAATTGTTGTTGCCTTCATTATTACCTTTGCATACAGTTGCATACAGTTACTGCTTCATACAGTCGCATACACTTGCATACAGTTGCTGCTGCCTTCCTTATTACCTTTGCATACAGTTACTGCTGCATACAGTCGCATACACTTGCATACAGTTGTTGCTGCCTTCATTATTATTGCTGCATATAGTTGCATATAATTTACTAATGCATACAGTCGCATACACTTGCATACAGTATCTGCTGCCTTCATTTTTATTGCTCCGTACAGTTGCATATAATTTACTAATCATTACTGCTGCCTTCATTTGAATACAAATTACCTTTTGATTCCAGATTTACATACAGCCATTATTGTAAGACTTTGATTGTACTTCGTTTTTCAGATTGTTTACAAGGACATCCATCCAAACGATATAGAGCTTGCCGTTATTCAGATTCCTCCAGTAGGCGTTGCTGTTGAGAACAGTCCTACACCTACTCATTCAGACAAGTCAGCAGAGGATTCGGATGACTTTTCTCCTACACCTGATCTTCAGTCTAAGAAGAAACATGCTGCAACTGTTGGTCCATCTTCATCACCGCCCCATAAAAAGCGCAAAGAATATTTTTTGAAATTATCAAATCCTTGTCCAGTTCAAACACCCCAATTGTTTCTCCTGAATTGACAAAACCTAGAGCAAGCGTATCATCTATACCGGAATCATACCTTTGAAGTGATTCGTCTATTTGCACAATATCACCTTGAATTAAACTACCACCGGATACAAGTTCTTTTTCAATCGTTGTTATGCACAAAGGATACATCCCGAATTCTCTGTTCTCTTTTTTCAACTCTACATACACCCTGTAACCCATGTCATTGTGTATTTCCATTGGCGTGTTATTCCCTTCTACTTTGTATTGAATTTTAATGGACTTTGAGCTCAAATCTATGCCCAGTTGATTAGAAATTGACGCAACCAAATCATTATACGACACATACTCCTTTATCGGTATTCCCTCAATTGAATAATCGACGTAATTGCTCTCACCGTTCCACTTGCCAGAATGACGCAACAAAACTGTTAAACTTGCCATATGTATAATTGAATTATACCGTATTTTGTATACATTTGTATCAATCGCACTTTTTCTTGGTTGAAAAGAGAACTGGTTACGGAAAAAAAAGGGAGAACTGAAAATCCAGATGTTGCTCTGGTTTTCGCTATTTTTCTCGTTGAATCGTGAATGGAGGAATACAGAATTATGGGCAATAGTTTGTGTTAGTTGAGTTAAATTAGGAGAATATCAGGTGAATTGATTTCCTTTCCGTTTTAAACAAGTTCAAATTTCCATATTTTACGCAAAATACGTTACTGTATTCATGATAAGGCCGCGTGAATACATTTGAATACATCTCAAGCTTAGCTGGAATTCCTTGATTCACGCTTATTTTTGCTATTGTATTAATGAATACAATAGCTTAAATACATCAAATACATCTTATAACCACATAAAAGGTATCTATAATCCGTAATATAGCAAAAGATATTTATAAATGGCTAATTACTGCTAAACGATAGTGCTTTATGAAAATTTCTCAACAAAAATAGCGAAAATCAAAAAATTTAAATACTTACCACACTAATTATAGAAACAAATGACAAAAATCTAGAGGAAATTAGGGTTTACGCCGAGATTGGGGAAGGAGGAAGCAGTGGTGTGGGTGAGAGGTTTCTCTGGTTTTGAGCGTGTTTGCAGGGAATGCGAAGGAATAGAGTGTATCAAAATAGAGAGAGGGAGAACGTGTATTGAGAAGTTTTTATGAAATACGGTAACTATGAGAGAGAAAAATCTGAAAACGGAGAGAGAAAAATAAAACATAGCGTCTTTAGTGGCTTAAGTGTAAGAGATAACCAAAATTAGAAATTTTGCTATAAACTATAAAAGATATCTATAGAATATAATTTATTTGAATGATATTTATTTAAAATAAATAAGGTGTTAACCTTTGCTATAGGAGGTAAAAATTCCAAATTAAAACTAAAGAAAACCTATTTCCATATACAACAAATCAACCCGACTCTCTTGCTGATGACTCATTTTTAATTCATTTTAAATCAAAACCCCATAGCTCATTGAACAAATATTTACAGAAATGAAATAAGCTAGATACTAAAACATTGCATAAACAGAGCAAGAGATTGACGATGCATAACCCAAGCGGAATTACCCCAACCTTCCAAACTCCCTAAGCTAAATTAACTAACTCAATACCTTGTATTAGATGATTTATTTAAACATGCTACCACAAAATAAACATAAGCATATCAGCAAGAAGATCAAAATCCATGGCAAATCAGGATATTGAACCAATGAAAATTTTTCGACAAATACCACAAGCAAACACATAAATAGAGATTCATGAGCAAACATATTGAAGAGATCAACCAAAAATATAAATCGAAAGAGGCAAAAACGGACCTGATCCGAGATTGGAGACTTTTAAAGGCTACATCGCAAGGACCTCGAACCGGCGAACTCGAACATTACCTCACTTTAACGATGTTTCGGAACTGATTTTGGGCTGGTTTTGAAGCTGTTTTCGAGCTATTTCGCAGCTGGTTTTACTGCTCCTTTTTGGCTGGATTTTGCTGAGCTTTGGGGCTGAGTTCCGATGGAGTTTAAGGGGGTGTTTTGAGGCGTTCCTGGGCTGTTTTTTGGGTGAGTTTTGAGTGACGTTCTTGTGTTAATTTTGACAGCTTTCTTCAGCAATTTTGCAGTTGTTTTTGCTGCTCTTTGGAGCTGTTTTTGGGGGTGATTTCGGTTGTTTTTCGGCTAGATTTTGGGTGCTAAAGGAGCTGATTCATGGGGGAAAGGTTGCTGCATTTTTTGGACTGTTTTAAGGGTGCTTTTGTGACCGGCTTTCAACTGTTTTGGAGCTAGGTTTGGTGTCATGTTTTTCCCGTCTCCATCTGCTTTCCCCTTCTCAGTGCGTGTCCGTTTTTGTCTCCTCCAATTGAGAGAAAAGAGATTGAAAAATCAGAAGGGGGAGCGGCTAGCTTAGAGGTGTAGGTTTTTTTTTTTTTATTTTAGAAGTTAAGTGTTATTTTATAGGGGTAAGAATTTGGTTAGGTCAAACGGGGAATGGGTATGGGCTCAATATTTTGGGCTTGAAGGGATTTTGGTCATGAATTTGGGCTAATTAACTTTGGGGTAGGAAGACTAAATCAAAATCTTTTTTTTTTCATTTTTCTTTTTCTTTGATTTTAAAATCTAATAAAATCCTAAATTAATCCTAAATCCATCTAATTTGTAAAAATTAAAATTGTTTATCTATTAAAGCAATTAATAACTTAAAACTAAATAAAAACACTACTTTCTAAAGACTAAAAGCTAAATATGTTAAAATGACCATTTTTTTTTGTGATTTTTCTTAATAAAATTAATTCCTACATGCAAATGGACCTAAGATGACATGAAATTAAAACGTGATATTTTTTTATCATTTTTCTATGATTTTAAAATATTAAAAATGCATGAAATGCAACTAAATAAAAAAAAACTTCTAAAATCCCTTAAAACTCATTTTGGGTTTACTTCCAGGAGTTATTTTCATGTAGGGCAAAAATTAGGTGCTCACAGATAGACATGCGGAAACATAAACAAGATTTTTAACAAAATAAGAAAAAATTTAAATAGATCTTTAGAAAGATCTAAACCCTAACTTTAGGGTAAATAAAGAATATAGAAAATCTCAGAGATTCGTACATAGAGAGAGGAAAAATGAACACAGATGAGAGAAGGGGAAGATTCAAACCAGATTTGGTCCGAAAATAGAGAGATTAGCTTGCCATGTTAGGCAAGCCACTAAACAATACCATAATAGAGTAGCCAGTAGTAGGAGATAGCCAATAAGGTAAGAAAATCCCCGATTGATTCCATATCTGGTTGGAATCGAAAGTGATTAGGAGTGAGGGCGCAAGGGTTTCAGAAGAGGAGGAGAGGAGAGAATTTGAGGACGGCGGTTTGGAGGGAATGGGGAGTTAGGGTTAGGGTAGGTAAATTAAAAGGTGTGTGATGAATGTGGGCCATTGATCTTAAGAGATCAACGGCCGGGATTGAAGGAAGGGGTTTGGGTCGGGTATAGAACGGGTATTGGGTTAGGGGGTTATTTTGTTTGGGCTGGTGCGGACTGGGCCAGGATTTTGAGTGGTTGGGCTAGGGTAATTGGGTTAGGTCCAAAAACTCAATAAAAATTGGGGCCAGATTTTAAATACCCAATTTATTAAACAAATAATTTATAAAAATAATTAATGAATAACAAAAATATCATTTGTGCATAAAAATTGTTAGTAAAAATTATTCAACACTTTAAAAATATAAAAAGTTATTTTTGCATAAATAAAGTAATTATAAGTATATGTGGGCTATTATTGAAAATATATAATTTTAGCCTAAAGATGCAAATGTATTTATGATAAATATGTTAAAATATTTAAAGCCTAATCTGGGTGTAAATGATAAAATTAGATGCTAAAATTATTATAAAAATAATTTGTGATGCAATTAATGATTTATTTACACAATAAAATATGGGAATAAATTGATTAAAAAATCGTTAAAAATTATGAAAAAATTAGGAAAAATACTTGATGATGCTCATGCACTATTTTGAAAGTATATATGCATATTTGAAATATGTGAGGAAAATATTGGGTATCAACAGGGATATCGTCCCGTAGTCCCAAACATAAATGTGCAGGGGGGTCTCCCGGAATACCGTTCCATAGTCCCAAAGTAAACATGCAGGGGGATTTCCCGGAATACCGTTCCGTAGTCCCAAAGTAAATATGCAGCGCAACCAACAGAAATAACAGTTACAGCACAGCAGAAAACTCGTACATCACCACAACACGTATAACAACAACAATAACAATAATACAAGGTACGACAAGAAAATCAACTCAAGAACTGTACACCACAAAGAAACGATAGGACCAACTCACAAGGAATAACCACAGAAAAGAATGCTGGCATAAAGGGAACATGTCAACAAAGGGAAAACTAACATGTAGCAACGATCCCACAATATACAAGTCAATAACAAGGAAATCATCACGAGTCCAGTAGTCCCAAATTAATGCAAGTAAACAAAGATATAGGTTATCTAAACTCCTTTTAAGGCTGGAAAGTTACGAGGATATTCGACAATTCAATTAGGGAAAGGTGATCTTAGCTTCACTTAAGACTAAACAATCTCAGGAGGGATAATAATAATTCTCAAATAAGACAAGCATCCATGAAAAGATAGCATGACAATATGAGAGGGAAATTCTCAGTTAAATCAAATAGGAGTCAATTAGGCAATAAGAGTGAATCATGAAGCAATTACTTTCAATTAAGCATGTAGAGGCGAAACTAGTAAATAGAAAACTCAGTCATATCAAGAATAACTTCATACATAGTGAATATAAGGACCTAAGAACCCTAAAAGGCCAATTTCCCACAAATAATTCCGAGTACGCACTCATCACCTTGCGTACACGAACTACAATCAACATAAAAGACTCAAATCCTAAGGGGAAGTCCCTCACACAAGGTTAGGCAAGATACTTACCTCAAAGACGACAAACCGATACTCTAAAATGCACTTCTCGGGTGAAAAGACCTTAGGACGGCTCAAATCCAACCAAATTAACTTCAAAGAACAAATAAAACACATAAGAAATTATTCCGGATCATAAAGTCTCAATCTTTAACAACATCCAAAAATCGGTCCAAAAGTCGACCCCCGGGCCCACACCTCGGAACCCGACAAATTTTACAAAAATCGAATACTCAGTCCGATACGAGTTCAACCATACAAAATTTATTAAATTCCAATACCATTTGGTCCCTCAAATCATGATTCTTCATTTTGAAAACTTTCTTCAAAAACCAACATTTTTCACAACTCAAAATACAAATTAAATGATGCAAATAAAGATAAAATCATTGAATAGGTTAGATTCTAGTTGAAGAACACTTACCCAATCGATTTGCTTGAAAACCCCTGAAAGAAGCTCCCAAAATCGAAGTCTAAAGCTCAAAATATGAAGAAAATGGCCAAACCCTCGATATAAAGGATTCTGCCCAGCACTTCCGCATCTGCGGATACTTAACCGCATCTGCGCTATCGCATTTAGGGGCAGACGTTCGCATTTTGCGAACTTCACTTACAGGCCTAGGTCCGTATCTGCAGTCAATTAGCCGCATCAGCGGCGCCGCAGAAGCGATAACAGGAGCACAGAAGCGGGGGCTCCATTCGCAGATGCAATGCATCAACCGCAGAAGCGGTTACGCACCTGCATTCCGGCACTCGCAGAAGCGAGCTAGTTTCCAGGCCTCAAAGATCGCAGATGCGATCAGGCTCACGCAGAACCGGAGCCGCACCTGCGCTCCAAGGTCACAGGTGCGAAAACACCAGAAGTCAGACATGCTCAAAACCATGCAAAACATCCAGAACTCGTCCGAAACACACCCGAGGCCCCCGGGACCCTGTCTAAACACGCAAATAAGTCATATAACCTAACACAGACTCGCTCGAGGTCTCAAATCACATCAAACAACACCGAAAATGTAAATCGCGCCATGAATCGAACTATGAACTTCCAAATCTTTCAACTTTGAAAACTCGTGCCGAAACCAATCAAAATCAACTCGGAATTACGCCAAATTTTGCAGACAAGTCTCAAATGACAAGACGGGGCTGTTCCAGCTCTTGGAATCGCATTCCGTCCCTGATAGCACAAAAGTCAACTATGGGTCAAACTTCTCCATTTTCAAAACTTCAACTTTTACAACTTTCGCCGATTTGCCTCAAATTATTCTACGGACCTCCAAATCCAAATCCGGACACGGGCCTAAGTCCAAAATCACCATACGAAGCTGTTAAGATTGTTCAAAATCCATTCCGGAGCCGTTTACTCCAAAGTCCAATTCCGGTCAAATTCACACCATTTAAGCTTCCAAAACTAGATTCCTTCTCCCATTTCGACTCTGAACCATCTGGTAACTAAATTCAACCATGCACACAAGTCGATACTCATATTATGAAGCTGTTCCAGACCTTACGCCATCGAACGGAGCTTGATTTCTCAAAACGACCGGCCGGGTCGTTACAAACTTGCAGATGTGCTTACTAAAGCTCTCACTGGGATCAAACATTGTTCTATACTTGGCAAGTTGGGTGTGATTTCCTCACATCCAACTTGAGAGGGGTATTAAGACTACTGTACTGTATTGTATTTGTCTTTCTTGTAGTAGTGCTCAGTTAGCATCATCAGCTAGTAATATTAGTTAGTTAGTGTTAGTGCATAGATTAGTTAGTCAATAGAAATTGTATATATTGAACAGTATCAATTACATTCAATACAATCTTCATTTCACAGTTTACCTAATTCTCTGCAGCTCCTCTTTTCTCTCTCTTCGAGCTCCTTCTAGAAGCTTCTGTATCCTCCATCGGAGGAGATGCGGAGCTCGATTCACACTTGAAATCTCGACAAGTAAAGGCAAACACGTATATTAGGCAAATCTCAAGTTTTTGTTGTGCAAGTCTTTCGTATTTTTCTTTAGACTACTAACACAGGGATCAGAGGAATTCCTTTTTTTTTTTTTTTTTTGCTCGTGTTGATGTTAGGTTTTAATCCTTTAGAGTGTTAAAAACAAAAGTGATAAATTGAGAGTTGATCTCTGAGTTGAAAACAAATTTGGAAAGCATTTTTAAACCAAAAAGTACTATTACTAGTGAAAACATATCAAATTTCTATTTTTATTAATTTTTGATCGCGTTGTAATGAAGAATACATCTAACTTTGATATGATGAAAGTTGAGGCTTAAATATGGGGTTATTACAACGAGAAGCAACTTCTTTATTACGCACTAGTTTTTAGACAATTGATTTTTTTGGGGTCAAGTAATTGAATGATATTTACCGTCTTATAAAGCGTTGATTGGTGCAAATTGACCTTCATTTGTATATATGGCAGCTACATGCGCACATTAAGTTTATTTTAACTAGCTTTATTTTTTATCTTTAAA